TATATATTATGAGGAGTCCATTGAAAAAACGGGCATAGCCACAAACTGGAGATTGTAAGGGTGTCAATATAAAAGCTTGTGGACTCATGATTTCATATTTGTTTGATTGGTGGTTTATTTTATATGTTTGTTGGATGGGCAATCTAACAACAACAATCAACCAACAGCAGAACAGAAATAGTTATATTATCATTAAATACTTGTTCGTCATTTCTTTTGGCAAAGTTGAAAAAAAGGATGGTTTGCATGATATTGCAGGAGACCTTACATAATCTTAGCCAGGTAGGTTTCATTTATGATAAAGTATGGTAAGGATAACACGACAAAGCCCAGTTGGAGATAGAGTGGGAGGAAAGTGATGAAGATGTCTTGGACATACTCTCGGAAAGCCAGGCAGCTGCACACACACACACACACACACACACACACACACACACACACACACACACACAAACACACACACAAAATAAAATATGTTTGATCATGGTCCACTTGGGGAGAGATTAAGGGAAAGGGGACCGCACCAATTTTAACGGGTTGAGAGCCTTCAAAACTTCACAAAACGACCCACCAAGTTCAGGAACACCCTGTCTGTGACTCGAACTAGGGCCACCCGCTCCATAGTCCAGCACGATATCAAGTGGGCTAGTAGAGTACCTCTTTACACCTTTGTTCATTTATCTGTTTCCAATATTGCCACAGAATCGTGTATTTTAATAGTTCTGAACAATACAAAGGAATAGCTCCAAATACGAACAGGGTGGTTCGATTACGATTTCGATCTTCCAGTCGAAAAAGTATATGATTGTAGTCAAAGAGTTACGGCTTTTAAAAACCACCTCTTGTTCTGGCTGCATGCCGAGGAATCCCCCTGCGTGCGTTTTACTGTTTTATTTATGTAACATACTGCCGGCACTGTAAAACAGGGATTACTAATCAGTAGCAACAACAAAAGAAAATAATAATATGACGTAAATTAAGTTTTATATCGGCAACGCTTAGGCGCGCCTAGCTAACCCTTAAACATTTTAAAGTGAGCTGAATGAATAAGAATTGGATAACAACAAAATACTAATCGAACAAATGATTATTCCGAGCCGTGAGCTGGCTGGATCTCTCAGTGTTGCGCTCGTGTGAGTGAGTGTTGTTTTAATGCTCCCTGTCCTGTCTCGTTATCACTGTGTGTGTGTGTGTGTGT